CGCTGTGCATATTGACCAGCACATCCTTCTTTTACATTCTGTACCGCTGCTCTGAATTCATCCTGCTTATTATTCACATTCTGTGTACAGTCATTCATATTGATAATTTTGTTCCCCCTTTGCCGCTTCTGGTTCAGTGAAACTCAAAATCTCCAGCTGTAAAACTCTAGTTGGACCAAAACCACAGATCAGTGTTATTGAATGAATCCACATAGCTGTGTTCATCATTCTTTAAATGTCAACAATTTAAATGCCTATAATAATTCTGACATTATTAGCAAGAGGTTACATTTACTCACGTACCGCACATAAGTACAAGTATAAAGTGTAAAGACAGTCAGTGCTTTTTGGTCAGTCCTAAACAGATACCATGAAATTTTACACAGATGTTCATGGTTCCTCGAGGATGAATCCTATTGACTTTGGTGGTCCTCTGACTTTTCCTCTAGCACCACCAGCAGATAAAATTATATTTTGTCCAGTAACTTATTTATCACAAAATACCTGCAAAATGTAGGACATCAGCCTCAGCTGTACTTTATGATTTATGCTAATTAGCAAGTTGCTATTATAGATGTAGATGCTGATAAGAGGATTACATGACAAGTACTGTACTTTTGATACTTTAACTGGTACAGTACTTCCTGATGGCTCTTCTTCTTTGCGGCCTGCAGATTTCCAAGAAACCCAGGGCGTGGTACAACAACTGGCCTGCAAAGCCCCTACAGCCAACCTCCACTGGCTTGCAACAGGCCTTCCACCCCTGCCTCCATCACTCGGAGACCAGGTCTGCATGCTTGGCCCTGTTCCTCTCCTGCGCCTCCTCCAACCAGTCCTTCCAGGGGATGGTCAGCTCTAGCAACACCTCTTGTTTGGTCCAGACCATTACAAAATATTAGACATTTTTCCTGATATTGTTTTATAAAAGACTTTTTTTATTCATCTTGTGTTTGATTTTTGAGGTAATTAGATATGATTATGATTTAGGCCTTTATCTGGATTCATCTGACTATCTAAATATTTAGTCTCTAACTGAGCTCTGATTTAAAAAAAAAAAAAAAGAAGAGCAACACCTGTAATATTAATAACAATTTTATAGTGAGGCTGTTGTATTTTTGGGTTACAGGGTCAAAGCCAAAATACTTTGGACCCTTTAAGCCTGCTTTATCTTTTACATGTTACTTCTAGTTGTAGCTGTGCCAAAAAACCCATAATAATGATAATATCTTAATATTTTTTATCCATGGCAGATTGTTTAGGATTGACCTGCCTATTATGTAAAAGTTAAACAAACAATAAAGAAGGACATGACATTTGCAGAACTGCAGTCAGCAGGGGTTATATTTGCATTTACAAATCACCCTCGATAAAATAAACATAGCCTCTCTCTTTACCACTGGCTCAATTGATTCATGTGTTGCAAAAAGGTACAGCTACAAAAGGGGTGTGTGGGGATCAGGCACAGTGAGAATTAGTGTTGGACTGTACTATAAGTTCATTAATGAAAAGTGTGTGTATTTATCTTCAAAATTCACCAGAGTATTTGTTTTACAATGACTATTACTGCAGATGCACACAATGAATATGCTATCCTCTGTGAAATACTGACCAAATCTAGTAAAAGCAAACACCAGTCCACAGATTATTGTGGTCATTTCCTGAACACTGTGTATACAGAGACTGTAGGTAAACATGACATTAGCAACCTTAACTGAGTAGGTAATGTTGATTTTATGGCAACCATTTCATATTTCATAAAAGCTCCAAAGATGTAGAATTAAGGGAGCAATGGATGAATACAAATTTTCCTTAACATGAGTGTTTCAGGCAGAAGAGCTTGTTGCCAGGAAACTGCACCAACGTTTGATCCTGAATCTCAAGCCCATCTACACAAACTCTGACCAAACACTGCCTGATGTGTTACAGACAGTTTCTCTTAAAATGCAGTTAGTGGCATTAACATAGAACTCACTACTGACTGGAGTCACTACTGACCTGGTGAGGTAGAGGTTTAAGGTAAAAAAAAAAGTCAGTCTCCACCTTTATTCAGAGGGATAACATAAACCAATTTCCACATACTGGTGGCAATGTCAGATGCAGTGTAAAGATCTGATAGTGTATATATACTCGCTGGCCACTTTATTAGGTACACCTGTATAAATTCAATTCTATATTTATTATTGAGGTCATAGTTCAAGGTGGTGTTGTACTGGACTACATTATATTCAGAGGTGTTCCTAATATTCTGACCCTCTCATGTATGTAGCTGGGGAGAACAAACATAGAGACACACATCTCTGAATATATTATCCTATAAAATATAGTGTAAATCAAGTTTGTCACATCTTTTGTGGCCTTCAGTAAAACATCAGCAGTTAAAGGCTAAACAGAGACCTGACTTTGGCTACATGCACGTAACAGTACTTGTGTAATCATATTCAAACTAATGCCAGTGGCTGCACAAGTCTTTTAGAATCTGAACAGATGTCAGTGATGATAAACAGCTGTCAGATTTAATAACTGGAAGCATTTTTAATTGAACTTTTCCTTGTTCCACAGAGTTTAGTTGGGTGTACAGTAATGAGGAACCTGCAACTAAGTTGATGTTAATCAGCAACTCTGACCACAGTTGTGTATTTATTCCTGAAACATTGATTACTTGTTTTTAATGGTGTTTGCTTCTTTGGCAGAAAGAAAGGACTTACCACAGGAGAAATGGGCCAATGCTAGATCAATATGAAGGATATTGGACCTGCTATGTAGATATTATTCACAAAGAATTGTTTGTTTGTTTGTTAAAAGGGCACTTCAGCGATTTAACACCTCAAGTACAGTTGACTCTTTTACTCAGCTCGTAAACAGTTGTATTTTATGTCTCTACTGGGAGCTTTCTTCAGTCTGAAAATTCAACCCTGGTGATGTTATCAGGGTTATCTCACCATGGGGCTTTATTGAAAGCTTTTTTCTTACAAACTGGGTGTATGGTGTTTGCGAGACCTGGGTGTTGACCAGACATGTTCATATCAGGGAGTGTATATCATATCAGTCATAAATACAACTGGGAAACTGAGTCGACCAACTCTGTAGTCATACAGCTATTGTGAGCTGTCCTGTGATGAACATTTATAAATCATTAACATGAGAATTTTTCCTATCTCTGTCATTTATCCTGCATAATATGAACACAGCATAATAAATGATGCTGTCAAATTGCATTACAGGGAATGTAGGATCCATATAGAGCCATATAGAGACTAAACTCAGGGTATCTGATCATTAAAAAATCTGTCTTTTGAGCATTATGAAGGTGCAATCATAAATTACTGGCATACAGCGGAAACTATAATTTAATCATTTCCACACAGACATATACTGATGATTACTGCTTCTTGTCAAAAGTGAGACATTGTTTTTTTTTTCCTAATGAGGCACTTCTTCGCTGTGGGCTTTGGACTGTATAGCTAATCATTTAGGATCCTGAGTGATCACAGTGATTTATCAGTATACTGTGATATAATGAATCCCACAGTCCAGTGTGTGCTTTGAAAGCCAAATCCAGATATACTGAACAGAAAAAAGGAATCATTTTCTATATTTTATACTTTTCACTAACCACTTTTATGTCAGTTATACTGTATGTTTTAAGTCTGGTCTCCAATAAGTACCTCACTGAATATTTGACTTCTCCAATCATTTCAATTGTCATCCAGTATAACATCACAGATACTGATTTTTTTTTAGTACCCTGGCAATGTTTTAGTTGAAGAATAACGATAAGGAATATAATAAACAGGAGATCTACTCCTTACATTTTCTATTTGTTCTTTTCTTGAGATGGAAGCACATAAAAGTTTGTACAACTAAGATTTAAATTCAGATTACATCCATCGAAGGCTGTAGCTACCACTGAGGACATCGAGGTCTTCTGTATTTGTTTTGGAAATTTGAGAGGGGTGTTTTACAGTTAAAAGTTGCACATGGTGGCCTACCTATCCCATTGAGTGATTCCAGTATTTTTAGATTGTGGATGTTTAAATGATCTTTTTTAATCATCAAAATGAATAAACAGACACAGAATTCAATGAGACTGTACACACTTTCCCATAACAAAGATTATTCCTCTCTATGTGTACCTCATTTGCAACCTGCTGCTACCTTTGACTTAAGTCATTTGACTTCTCCCTGACTTTTCTTTATCCTGCACCAGTTTAACCAGCCCTACAATATTTCCGAATGCATGCATTGACTGTACTTCCTGGAAGTAACTGCTTTTCAGGTTCATCCTGCACTAATTCCTTAACCATCTAAATCCTAGTAGTGATTAGCTACATTGATAGTTTTGGTCTTATTTGCAGTTGTTAAGCTATGAGCCTTGAGAGTCCTCATAAACACTGTTGTCAGTGTTCAGTTGATTATGCAGACTAACAAGCAGCCAGTGAACATAGTTGCAACAATTATTTATATATTGTGCAGCTCCTAGCCCAGAAACTGTCAAGTGACATGCTCGTTTCAATGTTCATTCATATTTGAATAAAAGGAAGGAGTACTGCATGATGTGGCTAAATACAACTGAAACTGTGTTTAGATGTTAATAATTTAAAGAGCGTGGTTACATTCCCATGAAGTTTTCTGTGATCCTGTTATGACTGTATGCTTTCACCCCGGACTGCTATGTAAGTACGCCAGGCGTGGTACACTGCCAGCACACCACAGACAGCCGCTCATTCACTTCCAGGTGCAGTTTGCTGTGGTCCAGTCACAATTCAACACGAACTGCTTTCGGCCTGATAAATGCGCATGCGCAGTACGCCTGACCCCTCCGGTTTCTACGTGCAATGCCACGTTAGTAGCGGTAGACACAAAATACCAGCTACTCTCCCAACCTTTAACAGGAAAAAAAAGACCAAAAACTGCGACCAATTTCACCGGTAAACCGTAGCCGGCCGTGTCTACAGCCCTCGTTTCTCTGTCAGGCAGACTACTCGATAACAACTAACATTATGTTGAAGTTTTTGCTCTTCTGCACATTGGCTGTGGCCAGCAGGGCTGACATCGCCGAGGAAGAAGATGTCCTGGTGCTGAAGAAAAGTAACTTCGACGAGGCTCTCAAAGCTCACCCGAACCTCCTGGTTGAGTTCTGTAAGTAACGCTGCTGACAAAGCCTGTCCACCTACCGCTAGCTGGCTATAGCAGGATCACTGGCTACCTGGCTAGCTAGCTAAACTAAGCTTGGGTAGGGTAATGTTAGCAACTTAGTAACTTTGACATTTTTTTGATAAGTTGCAGCTGTTACTAGCTAAATTGCTGGGCTTGTGTTCAATGTAACGTTAACTTTAGTTCCCAACCCGTTGTTTCACCGTAACGTTAGCTAGTTCAAACTGTGGAAAAACGAAAGGTGGTTTGGTTGAGTTTTCGCATAAATCTTTAATTTTTTTTTTACTAGTTAGCGTTAGCCAGCACAGGGTACAGCCGAAGTGGCAGGTAAATCGGTTGAGAATACGGAACTTGGCACAACGCATTGGCCCTCAAACTGTTTTACAATCAACGCTTATCATATTACAACGTGTGTTTAGCCGCATCCCGGGACCTTGTGGACTGCAGTAGCATTATACTGCATTGAGAAATGGTCTGCAGTGCGTGTATTACACTTTGGTCGTTGGACTAATGCAGTAATATTATGGTTATTAGTGCTTTAAGTCGGCAGAAGCGCAACGAGTGAATTAGTCAAGTGCGATGTGATTAAGTTTCAATTGCCTGCTGTTTCACTTCTTAAGTTTCAGTTTTCGTGCTTCCCAGGGGTCTTACCTACTGTAATCTAATTGAGTTGTGGCTCATTAGTAAGTTATTTCGCCTAATAATATGCTAAGCTTTCGTATCACAGCGCACGCTTTAATGAGCCACTTTCCTTAGCCTCCGGGCCTATCCCGCTCCACTTTTGTCAGATTTGTGACCTGTTCATAGATTACGTGACAAATCTGTGGACCAGTCAGACATAGCTGTTTGGGTCAGTGTCCAGCGAGTTCCGGGAGAGGAATGGAGGCTTTGTTTGCACACGTCTTTTTCAGCTGGGCGGGATTTCGTTGGGGTTGTGGGGCTAGGTTGACGTGTACTTTACAAAAGTCCATCTGTGGCTTTATATTGACTTGGCTGGAAAACGGAAGATCTGTTCTTTCCCAATAATTAAAGGTGATGCAATGCAGGTGATTTTATTTGACATGTCATTTTTGATTAGGAAATAATCTGTGTGGAGTTTGTGTTCAGACCGTACATGTACAACTGCACACAATGGCTTACAAACGAGCAAGTCAAACACAGCAGAAGTGCAACTGTCCTCCATTTTTTGGAAGTCTGCATGGTCATCAAGACATGTTTTATTATTCCTTTAAGAAATTCCCTCGAAGCTGATCTCTTTCCTTAAAGGCTTTATAAGCAATACTGAAGTTGCCCCCAAACATTTACATATATGCCTGTCTGCACAATATTTACAGGACAACCTTATGGACAAGTGTTACTTTTTTCTGTTGAAGAATGAAGAGAAAAATGATAACTTTTTAACAACAATTTTAATCTAAATGAATAAACATTTGCTGAATACAGCTGCACAAATTCCAAGACTTGCTTGAGTTTCCTTTTTTAGTATCAAAGTATAAACTAAACATCACAGGCTTTTTGGTGGCTGTTAGACCAAACCAGAGAATTGTAATGCTTCGCTTGTGCAAAATGATGGAAAATTGTCATTGGTTCTGACAGGTTACTGTAAAAAAAACCAAGCAAAAAATTTTTATTAGTAATTACAGTATCTTGTAGGCTGTCCCTGGTTTGTCTTGCTTTGATTTCTTCTTGCATTTTGTTTTTTGACAGTACAATTCTATCGCTCTAGCATGTGTATCGACACCTCTGTTTGTATCTTATAGATGCCCCATGGTGTGGCCACTGCAAGGCCTTGGCTCCAGAGTACGCCAAAGCTGCCGGCATGCTGAAGGCAGAGGGTTCAGACATCCGCCTGGCTAAAGTGGATGCCACAGAAGAGACCACACTGGCCCAAGAATTTGGTGTACGTGGATACCCCACCATTAAGTTCTTTAAGGGTGGTGAGAAGGAGTCCCCCAAAGAGTACTCTGGTGAGCAGTAATTTATTTTTTTGTACAGACCTGTGTGCTTTAGATGTACAATTTAGAAGTGAGAGGTGGTGGTTGAAAATTAATACAATTCAGGGGTGGCTGTGGCTTAGTAGATGCACTGGGTCGTCTCTTAACCAGAGTGGTGGCAGTTTGATTCCCAGTTTCTCCAGTCTACATGTCGAAGTGTCCTTGAGCAAGACACTGAACCCCTAGTTGCTCCAGGTGATGTCACTATTGTGTGTGCTAATATGAAATGGTGTAAAGTTCTTTGATTGTGCTTCAGTGCATAGAAAAGCACAATATAAGACATTTACAAAATCCTGTGGCAAGTGTTGGTTGATGTCGGTGTTAGTTTTTGTTTCCCAGATTTGATCATTTTCTTATAATGGTCATTGCATGTTTCTGGATTTTAATTTAGTCATACGCATTTAAAAGTTGTTTCTCTGCTCAAAGCATCTTAAACAATGGGATCCCCCCCCCCCACACATACACACAGTGATGATCTTGAGCACCTGCTGTCACAATAAAGTGAGTGAACATTATTTCATGTCATTAAATGTTTCAGATGGCAGAATGAATCGGATTAGGCAACCACGTCCAAGCCTTACTCATATTCTTTGTGCTGGTAATGTGACCTGCACAGCAGCATAAATGGTGAGGTAGCCAATCAACTTTCAGCAACATGACTGAGGCAGAATTTAGGCTGGGCCTTCTCTGCATACTCCGCATGTTGACTGAGAGCCCAGCCTCTCAGCTGGGTAGAGACATGCGAGGCATGTGCAGTTCTTCACGTCGTCTCTTTGCTGGCCCAGACCAATCTTGGTTTGGAAAGGGAGGGGCGAGTTTTTTTTCCTGTGTGTGGAAGTGACTACTCTGTCTGTATTCTAGCTTCTCCCACACACTGCCCAAGCACTGCATCAAGGCTACGTGTCGTATCACTTAATCAACATGTGCATCACAGTGAAATTGCTATGATGTTGCATCAGTCTGACAGCCAAGTCTGTCCTTAAGTTTAGTTTAATTGCAACAGTCTTACTCCAAACAAACATCAGTATGCTTTGTGCGGCCTCTGTGTTGGTAGAAAAACATTGTTCAAGAAAATTGTTGGGTGTGAAAGTCAAAAACAAAAGAACAGTGCTTTCTATAGTCATCTGAAATTGACAGAGGTTTCAGAAATGCAGAAGAGGTCTGTTTGCTGTAGACATTTTTCACTTTCAGTGCACTTAAACTTAAGGGTATCTCTATGCTTCCATGTCCTCAGTAGAGGCAGTTCACTCAGACGTTGGTGTTGACCTGTGACTTTTAGCAAGCCCTGTGATGTCAGTGCATACAGAAGCATTTGAGTTATTGTGTTGTTGTCGTTGTTGCAGCTGGTAGGCAGGCAGATGACATCGTCAGTTGGCTGAAGAAGCGCACGGGCCCAGTCGTCGCCACCCTGACCGGGGTCACAGAGGCCGAGTCTCTGATCGCTGACCATGAAGTGGCAGTCATCGGGTTCTTTAAGGTACGATTCTGAGCTAAAGGATTGAGCTAAAACGGATTAATATTTGTATAGGATGGATTTTTTTTTCTATTTCCTCTCTAGTTTATATTATATGTAGCCTTGGTGCTCAGAATCTTGGATGGTTAGTTACATTCCCTTACATATACAGTATCACTTCTCAAACTCCATTAACCATATTCATTCAGTTTGTCTGAC